CTTAAGGTGTACAGATTTTAGTATGTTTAACTCATATTATATGTCTAATATCCACTTATTAGTGAGTATGTACCGTGTGTGTCTTTCCACTTCTGGAATGACTCACTCAGGATGATCTTTTCTAGATCCCATCATTTCCCTGCAAATTTCACGATTTTCTTGTTTTTAATTGCTGAGTAGTAGTCCATTGTGTAAATGTACTACAATTTCTGTATCCGCTCCTCAATTGAGGGATATCTGGGTTGTTTCCAGCTCCTGGCTATTATGAATGAAGCTGCTACAAACATCGTAGAGCAGATATCCTTATTGTGTACTTGAGTATATTTTGGATATATGCCTAGAAGTGGTATATAGCAGGATCTTGAGGAAACACTATTCCTTATTGTCTGAGTAAGCACCAGACTGATTTCCAAAGTGGTTGTGGTTGTACAAGTTTACATTCCCACCAGCAATGAAGGAGCGTTCCCCTTTCTCCACATCCTCTCCAGCATATATTGTCACTTGAGTTTTTGATCTTAGCCATTCTGATGGGTGTAAGATGAAATCTCAGGATCTTTTTGGTTTGCATTTCCCTTATGACTAAGGATGTTGAGGATTTCTTTATGTGTTTCTCTGTAATTTGGTATTCCTCAGTTGAGAATTCTCTGTTTAGCTTTGTAGTTATTTAATATTAGTGCTCACACTATTTAACAAGAGGAGAAATTAGAATTATAATTTAGTAGGATGAGTAAGATAGTTTGTTCATTTTCCAGTTTAATTTTTATTATTTTCTTTTATTATTATTATTATTATTATTATTATTATTATTATTATTATTATCAACATCATCATCATCATCATCTTCAATTTATTCACTAGGTGTCCCTTATCTCCATTTGGTCCCATCCTCCTTTCCTTTCCTCTCTTTCTCACTTGGTCCACTGATAGGGGAAGTCTTCCTTCTTTACAGTCTGATCCTAGCTTGTAAGATCCCATCAGCATTGTCTGGATCCTCTTCTTCTGTGGGCTGGCCAGGTAGCCTTAACAGGGGAAGTAATCAAGGAGCAGGCAATGGAGTTATGTCAGAGACTGTCTTGTCTCCTCTTACTAGGGAACTCACACAGAGATTGAGCTGTCTATGGGCTACATTTGAACAGGGAGTCTAGGTCTTGTCTATGCATGGTCTTTTGTTGATGCTTCAGTCTCTACAGCCCCTGCACACCCCAGGCCCTATTTTTTGTTGTTGCTGTTGTTGGTCTCCTTGTGGCACTTCTGTTTCCTTCTGGTCATTCTTTATCTTCCTTACTCCAAAAGACTACCTTAGGTCTGTCCAAAGTTTGACTGGAAGTATTTGAATCTGCTTTGATACATTGCTGGATGAAGTCTTTGAGAGGATATCTGTGGTAGGCTCCATTCTTTTCCCTGTCTTCTACCATTTCTAATGTCTGTCCTGTTTTCTCTTCTGAATGAGAATTAAATAATAAAAGAAGGTAGGGGAAAAGGCCATGTAACCTATAAAAGCAGACTTCTCAGAGTCACACCATATTTCTCCTCAGAGACTATAAAAGACACAAGGGTCTGGGCAGATGTCATGCAGACACTAAGAGTCCACAGATGTCAACCCAGAACACTATACCTAACAAAACTTTCAATCAACATAGGTGGAGAAAACAAAATATTCCATGACATAACCAAATTTAAACAATATATACAGAGTGACACAACCCCAAAGAAGATACTAAGAAAAACTCCAATTTAACAAGATCAACTACACCCAAGCAAACACAAGATAAAGGTACTTTCACAACAAAAAAGCAAAAGAAAATAATCACACAAACAAACAATCACCACCAACATTACAATAAAAAGAACTAACAGTCATTGGCTACTAATATCTATCAACATCAATGGACTTTTTTATTAACTTTTTATTCATTTGACCTCCTTATTGTACCCCCATCCCCCTTCCCCTCCTACTGTCGCTTTTCTTCTCTCCCTTTATCCTATACATCCTAGATCATTAAGTTTCATCAGTAGAGAGCATATCCTCTTCCTCTGTGGCATGGCAAGGGAGTACCACCAGGAGGAGTAATAAAAAAGCTGGTAAGTGAGGCTCTATCCTATGTACTCTTCATTTCCCTTACTGTATTCAAAACATAATGACTGCCTACAGATTGGGAAAAGATATTCACCCACCCTATATCTGACGGAGAGCTAATATCCAGTTTATATAAAGAATTCAAAAAGTTATACAGCAACAAATCAAGTAATCCAATTAAAAAAATGGGTACAGAGCTAAACAGAGAATTCTCAATAGAGGAATATCTAATGGCAGAGAAACACTTAAAGAAATGTTCAACGTCCTTAGTCATCAGGGAAATGCAAATCAAACTGATCCTAAGATTTCACCTTACACCTCTCAGAATGGTTAAGGTAAAAAATCTCAAGCAACAACACATGCTGGAGAGGATGTAGAGAAAGGGGAACGCTATTCCACTGCTGGAGGGAATGTAAACTTGTACAATCACTTTGGAAATCAATCTGGCGCTTTCTCAGACAACTAGGAATAACATTTCCTCAAGATCCAGCAATACCAATCCTAGGCATATATCCAAAAGAGGCTCAAGTATACAATAAGGACATCTGCTCAACCATGTGTGTAGCAGCTTTATTTTTAATAGCCAAAATCTGGAAACAACCCAGATGCTCCTCAGTTGAGGAATGGATACAGAAATTGTGGTACAACTACCCAATGGAATACTACTCAGCAATAAAAAAAAAAAAAAAAAAAACAAACAAACAAGGAAATCATGAAATTTGCAGGTTAATGGTGAGAACTGGAAAAGATCATCCTGAGTGAAGTATCCCAAAAGCAGAAAGACACACAGGGCATATACTCACTCGTAAGTGGATATTAGACATATAATATAGGATAAACATATTAAAATCTGTACACCTAAGGAAGCTAATCAAGGAGGAGGCTCTGGCTAAGATGCTCAATCCCCATTCAGAAAGACAAAGAGGATGGACATCAGAGGAGGGAGAAAACAGGGAACAGGACAGGAGCCTACCACAGAGGGCCTCTGAAAGGCTCTACCCTGCAGGGTATTGAGGCAGATACTGGGACATATAACCTAACTTTGGGCAAAGTGCAGGGAATCTTTTGAAAGAAATGGGAGACGGTAAGACCTGGAGAGGACAGGAGCTCCACAAGGACAGCAACAGATCCAAAATGTCTGACACAGGGGTCTTTTCTGAGACTGATACTCCAGTAAAGGACCACTCATGAAGATGGTCTGGAACCCCTGCACAGAGGTAGCTCATTGCAGTTCAGTGTCTAAGTGGGTTCCATAGTAATGGGGACAGGGATTGTCTCTGACAGGACCTGTTTGGCCTGCCTTTGATCACCTTCCTGTGAGGGGGGAGCAGACTTACCAGGATACAGAGGAAGATAATGCAGCCACTCCTGATGAGACCTGATAGACTAGGATCAGAGGGAAGGGGAGGAGGACCTCCCCATCAGTGGACTGGGGGAGGGGCATGGATGGGGACGAGAGATGGAGGGTTGAATTGAGAGGGGAGGAGGTAGGGAGGTACAGGGGGGCTACAAATTGAATAAACTTTAATTAATAAAAATAAAAATAATTTTAAAACACCCATGCACATAAAAAAAAACAAAAAACAAAAAACAAGTGTACTTCCTTTGCAGAGGACAGGAGTTCAATTCCAAGCACCCATACCAGGTTTCGCAAAACCATTTGCAACTTCATATTTGATGCCTCTAGACCTCAGAGACACCAGCACTCACATGAACATATCTACACACAGACTTACACACATGTACAAAATTAAAGATAATAAAATGAATCTTTAAAAAAAGAAAAGGGGATACAGACCAAGTTAGCACCAGCCTAGCGCTGCCTGGCATTATCTGAAAGCACAGATATGCTGTCTGCAACATGCAGAGAGAGAGACAGAGACAAAGATAGAGGCAGAAACAGACAGACAGAGTGTGGACGAGTTGCTGGAAGGCCTGAACTGGAACAGTTTTCAACTCAGCATTCCACTGTTTCTCACCACAGACTCAGACTTCCCTCGGGAACAGAAGAGTAAGGAGAAGGCAGTGCAGTTGGTGGAAGCTCTCACAGGCAGCCAACAGCAAAGAAAGGCTTGTTCACTTAGTGGTGTGGTTTAAATAAAGACCCCTCTGTCAAAGGCGTGGTTCCCAGCTTGTGGCACTTGTTGTTAGAGAGTTCGGGACACTTAGAAAAAGTGGAACCTAACAGAAGGTTTTCTGGTACCTGAGATGTGCCACTGAAGGAGGTTACTGGGACCTGTGTTTTCCATGTTTTGGCCAGGAGGAGATTATTTTCATCATGTGTTTTCACCATAATGTTCTGTCTAATTAGAAGACCAGCACAGTGTTTCCCTTGGATCCTGAGCTCATACCTGTCAGACCTAAACGCAAAATAAAACTTCCTCTTTTAAAATGGATTCTCTGTTTGTAGATTGGGTTTCTGTTTCCTTCTGTTTCTTAGAGTAACAAGCAGGCAGAGACACACCCAACTGAACTAAGGTGGGTGTTTAGTTTTAAAAGAGTGCTATAACTTAAAGGCCACTGAGTAGTTTATCCAAGCAGAGAGCTTCTGGGAAAGAAAAAAATAAATACAGCATTCACAGGGCCCTTAAAAGTTAACATCCCAGGGACTGGAGAGATGGCTCAGTGGTTAAGAGGACCTGAGTTCAATTCCCACAACCACATGGTGGCTTTCAACCATCTGTAATGGAATCTGATTCACTCTTCTGCTGTGCGTGAAAACATAAAATAAATAAATCTTAAAAAAAAGAAAATAAGACTCAGCAAATGCATCCAGAACTATGTAAGTAATACAAAATATACAGAAAACGCAACATGAATTTCTCGTAAGGCAGAACCATAACATATGTCATATTAACTACTGAGAGTATTAACTTGGGGCAAAAGGTGAGTTTCAACAATTTAAATAAAAAAACAATCTTACCTTTCCTGCCCTTTTCCCTTCAGATCTCCGCTGATTTTTGATAAAATGGAGACAAGGGAAGCAAAACAAAACAAAAACAAAGACAAAAATTAGCACTAAATAGTTTACTACATAGCGATTTTATTTTTTTACAAAAATATGTCAATAATACCAGTGCAATTGTACAATAATTTTACTCTGTTTTCATTCCTTTAGGGGTAGTTTGAGCAAATAAATATAACGGTATTGTAAATTTCATGAAACAACATGAAAAGCCACATAAAATACTATGTTTGAATTTAAAAAACTTCAGTTAACCTACATATGCATTAACTAAAATAATATACCCTTTCCATTAGATATTCTCTTTTGATATCACATACATCTCACAAAATTTTGAATGGCCAGGTCTTTTTTTTTGAATATAAACATGTTTCTTATTTAAATCAGGATGAACTAGGTTCATTGGGCATTTCTGAATTAAGAACAAAAATATCTGTATGACATCAAGACAAAATTTCTAAATGTTAAGTCAATAATATTGATGGTTCTTTATTTAAAATTTATTTATTTATTATTTATTACAATTTATTCACTTTGTTTCCCAGCTGTAGCACTCTCCCTTGTTTACTCTCAGTCCCTCCCTCTTTCCCTCTTCTACCCCTATACCCCTCTCCTAGTCCACTGATAAGGGAGGTCCTCCATCCCTTCTATCTGACCCTAGCCTATCAGGTCATCAGGAATGGCTTCATCTTCTTCCTCTGTGGCCTGGCAAAGCTTCACCCACCACGTGAAGATGATCAAAGAGCCAACCACTGAGTTCATGTCAGAGACAGCCCCTGCTCCCCTTACTAGGAAACCACTTGGAAATTGAGCTACCTATGGGCTACCACTAAGCAGAAGGTCTAGATCCTATCCATGCATGGTCCTTCGTTGACACATCAGCATCTTCAGGGTCCCCTGAGTCCAGGTTTTTTGGCTCTGTTGGTCTCTTTGTGGAGCTCCTGTCCCCTCCAGGTCTTTCTATCTCCCCCTACTTCTATAAAATTCCCTGCACTCTGCCTAATGTTTGTTCACAGAAGCTTTATTTTTAATACCCAAAATCTAGAAATAACCTAGATGTCCTCCAACAAAAGAATGGATGCAGAAATCGACATACATTTACACAATGGAATACTACTCAGCAATTAAAAACAAGGAAATCATGACATTTGCAGGAAAGTGGTTGGAACTAGAAAAGATCATGCTGAGTCAGGTAACCCAGAAGCAGAATGTCACACATGGTATATAGTCACTTATAAGTGGATATTAGTCATATAATATAGGATAAACATATTAAAATCTATAGTCCTCAAGAAGCTAAACAAAAAGGAGAACACTAGGGAAGAGGCCCTCCTCATTCAGAAGGGCAAACTGGATAGACATTAGAAGTAGTAGAAGACAGGAAACAGGGCAGGAGCCTTCCATATGGGACATTTGAAAAACTCTACCCACCAGGACAAAGGAGATACTTATAGTTCTTTCATTATTATTATTATTTATAATTTATTCACTTTGTATCCCAGTTGTAGTACTGTCCCTCATCTCCTCCTAGTCCCACCCTCCCTCCCACTTCCTCTCCTTCCCTCTTCCTTAGTTCACTGATAGGAGAAGTCCTCCTCACCTACTGTTTGACTCTAGCCTATCAAGTCCCATAAGGACTGCCTGGATCCTCTTTCTCTGTGGGCAAGCTGGGTCACCCCACCAGGGAGAAGTGATCAAGGAGCAGGTGACTGAATTCATGTCAGAGACTGTCTCTTCTTCTCTTACTAAAGAACCCACATGGAGACTGAGCTGTTTATTAGCTACATCAGAGCAGGGGATCTAGGTTTTTGGTTGATGCAGCAGTCTCTGCAGCCACCACCCCACCACCGGGCTCTGCTTTTTTTTTAAACTTTGTTGGTCTCCTTGTGTTCTTAAGAGGAACATCTTAATTTATTTCAGTTAGACTAATTGTTTAAAACTCTCATAATGAACTTCTAGAATTTAATTTATTTAAGATTTTTTCTTTGTATTGTCCCTCAGGAAACATGTTAATTAGCATTTTAAAGCTCAAGAAATTTTTAGATAGCCAGAACCTGGAAACAACCCAGATGTTCCTCAGTTGAGGAATGCATACAGAAATTGTGGTACTTTTACACAATGGAATACTACTTAGCAATTAAAAACGAGGAAATCATGAAATTTGCAGGCAAATGGTGAGACCTAGAAACAATCATCCTGATTGAGGTATCCCAAAAGCAGAAAGACACACATGGTAATACTCACTTATATAGACCTATAAGATAGGATAAATATACTGAAATATATCCACCTAAAGAAGATAAACAAGAAAGAGGACCCAGGGTACGATGATCAATCCTCACTTAGAAAGACAAATGGGATGGACATTGGATGTAGAAGCAAACAAGTAACAGGACAGGAGCCTACCACAGAGGGCCTCTGAAAGACTACCTAGCAGTGTATCAAAGCAGATATTAAGACTCATAACCAAATCTCCAGCAGAATGCAGGAGGGAGTTAGTACTACCTGGAGAGGACAGGAATTCCGCAAGGACCAAATATATCTGGGCACAGGGGTCTTTTATGAGACTGTTTCTCCAACCAAGGACCATGTATGGATAAAATCTAAAGCCCCTGCTCAGATGTAGTCCTTGGTAGCTCAGTATCCAAGTGGGTATCCTAATAAGGGGAACAGGGACTGTTTCTGACATGAACTCGATGGCAGGCTCTTTGACCTCCCTTCCTCCCACCTCCCAGGGAGGAGCAGTCCTGTTAGGCCACAGAGGAGGACTTTGCAGCCAGTCCAGAAGATACCTGATAAAACAGGGTCAGATGAAAGGGGAGGAGGTACTCCCTTATCAGTGGACATGGAAAGGGGCAGGGAGGAGATGAGGGTGTGAGGGTGGGATTAGGAGGGAAAGAGGGAATGGGATACAACAGGGATACAAGTTAACAAACTGTAACTAATATTAAAAAAATAAAAAATAAAAATAAATAAATAGAGGCCAGGGCAAGATGGCGGCGCCGGGAGGACTCTCATTCTGAGGAGCAACACAGCAGGATTGGCACAGTGACCAGCAATCAGAACTCGTGGCCATAAAACACAAGTGATTGTGTTTCACAGGTGAGAGGATACCTCACGGTCAGGGATTCAATCAGCTTTCACTCACCAGGCTAAACCGCGGAAGAGATCTCGGTTCCGCCAGGCACTAGGTTGCCAGTGCAGAGCTACCCGCCAGCGCAATCTGGTCATGGTCCCAGACTGAACTGTGGGCCCACAACACCATAGACTGGATTTCCCAGTCGAGAGATAACCCACGGAGCAGGAAACAATTGGGACCAACCTCAGGTTACCCAGACATCCCCTGGAAAAGACTCGGGTTCCGCGGGTGCCCCAAGAGCCAGTCCAGACCCAGAGCCGAGACACAGGCGCCTGCCTGTGCACCTGATTCGCCGCCTCAGATAGAACTGTGGGCACCAGGGCACCAGGGCACCAGACTGCGTGTCTCTGGCAGGAGGAAACCCCCAGCAGAGGGGGTCAGCAGCTCTAACGCTTAGGACACCCAGTACCAAAACACTTCCTGGACTCACGCAGACTCTAGTGCAGGCAGGAGCGCTGTGCTCTGCCGCCATTGTTGAGTTCCCCTGGGGCACTGGGACACACAGCTGCATCCTTGGACCTGCAGTAGCCGGAGAGCCATTACAGCAGCCCTCCGATACTGTGCCAAGGATCAACCAGTTATTCCTAGCTAGACTGTCAAAACTGTGGGAATCCCTGGTTTTTCAAGAGTGCTGCACCCACAACGTCTGGACCAGAGCAGTGCCTGCAGCCACCATTCCAAACAGAGACACACAGCTTCTGGTCCAGAGTGAGGCACCCAGCCTCCAGACCAGAACAGTGCCCCCAGGCGACAACTCAACCTAGGTGCACATTCTCCAGGTCCAGAGCAGAGCAATCAGCCTCTGGCCGAGAGACTTGCTGAGTGCACCTCCCACTTTCCCGGACAGAACTCTGAGCCCCAGGATAACAGACTGAGTTTCCCTGTTGGGAGAAAACCCCACAGCTAGGGAGCCAGCAGTTTCTTCAAGAGGACTATACATGGAAATTTAGTGAGCAGCAGCACACTAAATTTATAACAAGAAACCCAGCAGTGGGGCAGCTGTCTTGAGAAATTCTATGGGTAAGAGCAGATCCCCCCTGCCTAACAAAGACCACAGCTACTACTCAGGGCTATAAACCTGAGGTGAGCAGTGGCAACTCCTGAGAAACACTGGCCATACAGTGACCATAACGAAAAAGCAGAGAAGGACTCCTTCAGGAAAAATCATCTTCCGGCCAAGGGGATACGCCCTACCTCAGGACTCCAGGAAGCACAGAAACTAACAGCCAACACCTAAATAAGCCCAATGGGTAGAGGTCAGCGTAAAGGCTCAACCAACAAAAGACAGAGCAATATGGCATCTCCAGAACCCAGCCATGCAGAGGTGAACAGCCCTAAACAATGCAGCATAATAGAAAATCAAGAAGATGACCTTACATCTATGTTGATGAAGAGGATAATAGAGGAAACAGATAAAATACGTAAAGAATTAGAGGAAGATAAAACCAAACAGATCATGGCTATCCATAAAGAAATGGAGGAAGATAAAGACAAGAAGATTAAGGCCATCTGTGAAGAAATACGGGAAGATGCAACCAAACAGCTTGTGGCCTTCAGAGAAGAAATAATTAAATCACTGAAAGAAATAAAAGACACAGAGTTGAAGGAACTAAAAGAAAAAGAGGAAAATACAAGCAGACAGGTGAAGGAAGTAAACAAAACAACTCAAGACCTGAAGATAGAACTAGAAAAATTAAAGAAAACACAAATGGAGGAAATAATGGAGAGGAAGAATTTAGGGAAGAAAACAGGAACTACAGAGGTAAGCATAACCAACAGAATACAAGAAATGGAAGAAAGAATCTCAGGTGTAGAAGATACAATGGAAGAAATCGACGTATTTGTCAAA